CCCCAGCCCTGGCAAGCAGGCAAGGAGTCGTAGTGGCTGCAGCGAGAGCAGTTTCCACCACGGGCCACTGAGGAAGGCTTGGTGCGGCAACCGTCGGTGAGCAGGGAGAAGCCTCGCTGCTTTCAGCACAAGTTGCGTGCGTTGATAAATTATGGCTGCCTTGCCATACCCAAGGTCTTCCCATTTTTGGCACGGGTTCTGTATGAGCGCAAAGAGGGTGGCAACTTCATGCACTCCGGTCGACCAGCCATAAGCAACCCCCCACTCCTGATCCTTGAGGACATCTGCCGGGGAAAGTGACGGCCCATAGACTTGACTTTCTCCCACGGGAGGGCACATGCAATGGAAGTGCGGGGGGACTTCACCTTCAAGGGCACCTCCCCCCAGCCCTCCACAGTTGATTTGGAATACCGACGGCAGTGGCGGGAAATCGCGTCCCATCCAATATCCGTTGAGTTGGGCGACCATCCATAGGACTGTGACCCAGACGAATTCATCCTGCTGGTGGTGAGAGATGGCTTCGAAAACTTGCGGTGCGATACCTTCCAAGGGCATGAATGAGCCTCGAAGGTGACACAACAAATCGTGATTGGCTTGAAGAAATCGCTCTTTTTCTCCAGGGACAATGCACTTGGGCTGTGCTAGCGCAGCTCGCAATTGCTCATACGGACTTGCTTCTATGTCCTTGTGGACTGCAACTACCCCTCTTAGCTTAGCGACTTGACTCCAAGGAACAAAGAGGGAAGGAGATAGCTGTTGCGGACAGGGAGTGCATGATTTAGAGTCAGGTGCCTGACTGCCCTGCTTCGAGTCACCTTCAATTGCTTTAGTGAGTCGGTCTGCTCTTTTGGCAGAGTTGTCGGACGAGGGTGTGGAGACCGACTCCACCTCTGCATCTCCGTCCTCTGCAGGAAGACAGCTAAGGCTGTCCACCTGCCTTTGTTCCGGAAAAAGCTCTGTCGCTTGTTTACGAATTGCTCGCCACTTTACCAGCAGGCAGAAGCGCAATGCACTGTTTCCAGTTACCCCAGAGGAGTAGCCTGTAAACTTGCAACCACCGACAGGTTTCCAAGTCTCAACGGTCCATGCAGGGGGTAGGTTGGGCATACCGAGTATAGCCATCGGCAGCGTTTCCCAACCCTGCTGCTCCAGTTCGCGTAGAGCTGTCTGTGCTCCAATTTTGGCCTTGCCAAAGGCATGAAATATGGCAGGTCGCATTCGGTCGCGCGGCAATGCACTGGCCTGGAAAAGGTGTTCTCCTGGCAGCGACGCAACTGTGCATGGCCCTGTTAGCATCGGGAGCACTGATAGCATGCCCTGTTCGAAAGTGGCTCGTGCCCAGCTGGTAACCCAGGGGGTTCGCTCTCTTCCTTCTGGGGTGAGCGCCCTGGGATGGGATTGCCGTGGCCACTTGATTGGACTTCCTGGACTAGACTCCTCCGGGCTAGGGATAGGCATGGGCCAAAAGTGCTTACACATGTAAAGACCGTATAAGGACCAAACCATGCAGAGGTCAAGGGCGGACTGCATCGCTACCCCAACAAAGGGGGTAAACAAGGTGCCGCTCATGACAGTGTCGCTCGGATTGACAGGTGATCTGGCTCTTGAAACGAGAGCAAGTCGACCCGCCTGAAGGCTCTTTGCCAGGGTCTGGGCAGACGTGTCATGTTCCAACGGACTGTGCTTGTTGCGATTGCCGATCGATACGACCAAACCTGCATTATACTCTAAGTGCGCTTCTGTAAAAAGCAGCATGCCTATCCCAGCACTAGGGCTAGATTCGGAGCGTGTGTGCCCTATGAGATCAGCCCATCGGTGCCGCTGATGTGCTAGCTGCAGTAGGTCTTGCACCTCGAAGAGCGTAACTGGCACACAGTCATTATCAATGAGTGCAAAGTGCTGTGCAGGGTACAGGAAACGCGCTGCCTCTAGGACAAAGACCCCTGCCCAATAGTATGGAACTTTATGAAGGCCAGTAGTAGCATCAGCACAGATCCACAGTATGTCAGTCCTCTCGTCTTGGGGACCCACCAGACTTCTGCGTGAGGCCCACCAGGCAGCGAAAGCCGGCCAATATGGGACAGCAGCAGGTGTTCGATTGTCCACAATTAGGTAAATCATGTGATTGTTCATGATCAGGTCTCGGTGTGAGATGAGGGTCTGAATAATGGCAGTAGTATCAGGCAGCTCTCCCTCTGTTTCGAGAGCAGCATACCCCTCGTCCTTTTTGGATGGCTGCGCACGAACGTCAGTCAGACCAAGTGTAGGCCGAGCAGAGTCAAGACCGAAAGGACTGCTAAGAGTGTCTTTCATAGTCAGTGCTGCATAGGCTTCATTCTGGGACTGCGCCACACTATCTCCCGCGCCCCTGGCAAAGCAGGCTTGGCCATCCATGGTCAACCAGTCTGCATGGTCACGTGTGAAGACAAAGGGAGCAGGGACTCCATTCTCTGTGGTGTCCGTTAGGTCCAGTGAATTACTGTCTTCCATCCACGGGTCATGTGACATTCGAGTTTCGCTGTATGACAATGCAGGTATAGCCCCCGCCAACTAAGGTTGGCCGGTGCCCCGGCGGCGAAAGCACACGAAAGGGCAAGACGAATGAAGTCAGCTAAGGCTGACCTCACTCCTGCATGCAGGGCACTACGACCTGCTGTGAGCCAAACGTTGCAGCAAAGTGCTTCCATGAAAGATCAACTGTATTAAGCATAGTGCCAGGGACACCTGTTCAACCTATACTGCCATGGAGGGAGACTCACGATTGTGTCAGGGGCATATCAGGGGCCCTGCCACTACTGATCGTGGTCATCCGCATGTGGGTGTAATAGAGAAAATAACCATGCTACGTAAACCAGGCCACACAGCTGGGTATGTAGGTCAGTCAGGGGGGTGAGTAGCGCACCCTGCACATCATGAGGCAAAGAGTCCACTGTTTGTTCAATTTCCTGTACCAATGCATGCAGACTTTGCACTCTTGCATGCAGGGCTGATTCGATCTGGTGATGCGTACGGTCTGTGTGACGCTGTGGGGGCGGTTGCGCAGTTGGTTGCGTGTCTACTCGAAGGACATGCTGTTGTTGTCTGTCGGTAGTGGACCAAAAGCCTACTCGCCGAGGAAGGGAGGCTGAAAAGGGGCGTGTCTGCAGAAAGATGTCAAAGGGGTCTGCGTTCTCAGAAATGGTCCTAGCGCTCACTGCTTCAGCCAGCACATTGAGGAGGTGGCTTTCGTGGTGCTGTATGTGCAAAATCATCCTGCGGAGTCGAGTTCGCTTTGCGCCATACGTTGTGGCTCCCCTGGTGTTGATTGCAATACAGCCCTGATGATAAAGCGGGATGATGGCCCCTTCAACGGTTGCCCGGAGCTTTAGCAGAGCTGGCGGAAATTCAAACCCTTCTGTCCATTCTGGGAAGGGGGTATGTACGTTTTCTTTGACTGCATCAACCGGGAAGAAATGAAGTAAGTAGCACCGCTCTCTCCTCCCCCGATAGACGAAGGTTACAATGAGGTCTAAGACCCCATATCGAATGTCCTGATGGTCTAGTTCAAAACGAACAAAATCAGTGACATCAACGTAGGTACCATCATCTGCCAGGAACAAAGGTTCTGGGTGCGCCTGCATGGCTAGTTCGACTTGCAGTTTGTCTTTACACCGATGTGCGCAGGCTAGGTCAAGAGTCGAGTCGGCTGATGTGATTCAAGAGAAGAGCTGTCAAGCTATTCTGTCAATCTATTTCTCTCACTCTGAGCCAAAAGTCTGCAGGGACAAATGGAGACAATTATGGGGGCCCATGGAAGAGTGGGGAAGGGGAGCAAGCAGTCTCGTCTCAGGTTCACTGGACAGGGCACTTCTTTGGGCGCGCAAATGCACGCGGCGGTGGTAGATGCTCTTGCGTGCCGTCTTCCGCAACACGGTAATGAACATTTCCTTGTGTAATGCACTGCTGTGCCGGGAGTCTACTGCTTGTGGCCTGTCGGGGAGGCCAATCACTGGCCGGCGCTAGGGTTGGCGGCTTCGCCATTCCCCCCGGGTGAGTAGGTGGGGGATCTGCAGAAAAGGAATTTTCTTTGCAAACGGGTTGTGGGATGCATTTGGGTTGTGGGGGGGTGGGTGCCAAGCTGTGCGCAATTGTCAAGCTCTGTCATGGACATTTTGCCATACATATGGCAGGCTTTGTCCTGGAGATATTGCCATACTTAACTTCCTGCTGGGCTAATCACTTTTGGCAGGCTTTGTCCTGGAGTTCCATGCTTACTGCTGGGCTGCTCATGCTTATTATTGTTGATGGGCTATGTTCTGGTGCCTTGCAAGTCAGTCCCTTGCAAAGCACCAAGCTCCAATCCCAAATAAGAGTACTTGAGCCATGCCCTCGCTATGTTCTGGATTCCTTGCAAAAGGACTGACTTGCAGAGCACCAAGGTCCTTCCCAAAGAGGGTACTTGAGCCAAATAACAACCACCCCCTCGCTATTTAAAACTACGAGTGGGTTTGTTTTCCAGCTACCACAAGGAAAAAAACACCCACACACACAACCTCACAACCAAACCAAACCATGCCCACACACACATTGCACATTGTCCTTTCAATGTTTCAACGCTCTTTTCAAAAATTATTGAAAAACTTATGGTTGCTATTTGGCCTTCTGTGTTGCACATTGTCGTCACCATTTGGGCGACGCAACGCTTATTATAAACTTGTGCGTCTTCAAAGTTGGCACCACAGCTTGCAGGTGCACAATATGCCTTGCTGGTCTTTGGTCAAAATAAAGACATTTGGGCTCACCATGTTTCACCCGTTCACTACATGTAGAGCGCATGCCTGGAGTGTGTAATTGTCATGATTATTGTTGTGCGCATATACCACACATACTATGGACAAACCATGGAGCTACACAGAAGACACACATCAAACGACAGTAGCGGCAGAGGCGTGCTAAGGTTTTTTGCGCTCTCGTCTTCGCGCCAGCTGTCACGTCTCATCTCCAGGCCAAAGGTTCTCATGGCCAAATTCACTCCACATCCTCTGGGGCAGGTTTGGGCGGTTCAACCGGATCTTCCTCCGGCGCCTCTTCCTCACCCCCTTCAGGATCGCCCATCGGATCAGACATCAGCTCACACGCCGGCCCAGAAGGGGCACCAGGACGGCTCTCAAGCGTTTCCGGAACTTCGACCGCTCCATCAGCACCAGGCATGGGTGGGCCGTTAGGCATTGGTACCCTCACAGCTGAAGAGCTTGCGCCTGACGCAATTTGTCACTGACGGGGTATATAAAAATCTTTGTAATGGGGACAACTGTTTTTTACACTCCTCAGCTTCCAACCGGAACGCTCGGATTCAATGAAGTCTTCAAACAGAGTATCCTCAATCTTGACACAAAAGATTGCACGACTAGCAAAGCAACCAAGTCTAATAACAACTTGGGAATCGGCCGCAACATCACGAACATACGCCACCGTTTTACCGATCACCAAATAGTTCCGGCAGATTTCCTGGGATGAGGTTCGCACGTGCGCCGAACACAAAAACATATTCTGTCTTCCATATATATTATATATATATAAATATATAAGCCCGTGGCAGCGATCTCTTTCAAGCGATCCCAATTCTTGACGTCCAGTGCGCCAACCTGGAACCACACGAAACTATATAGGCCCTTGCTATTTGAAGTGGTGGAGCCACCTGAAACGCTTCGTGGCCGTCGCAGGCACAAGCATACTTGCCACTGCGCTTGTAGAAGTACAGCTTGCTGATCTTTCGGTCTAGACCTGTGGGTGTGTTGCACACGCGCGCGCACGTCGTTTCTACGTTGGTTCCATTCTGTTGGTTCAAAGTTCTAGGCGCTCTACATCGTTTCCCCACCTCCCCCGTGAAGCCATGAGTCTGGTCGTGGCATGCGACGCTTGCCACCTCCCTCTGTTTCTGCGTTCCCAGTGCTTGCCGGTGAAGCAGCAGGGCGTTTCAAGGCAGGCTTGCGGAACACAGCAGGTTCAGGTTCCTCTGGTTGCTTGTCGTCTTCATTTCCCTCACCACTCACAACTTCTGTGGGTTTTTTGGCCTGGGCAGCTGCTGCATCGGCTGTATCGGGGTCCTTCTTGTTTGCTGTTTTCTTCTTTGGCAAAGTTTTGGCTTTCTCCTTGGGCAATGGTTTAGGTTTGGCCTCCGGTGATGGCTTGGCTTTGGCTTTAGCTTTGGCTTTGTTTTTGGGCGAGGCTTTCGGTTTGCCTTTCGGCTTTGGGGCTGGGGTCGCAGCTTGCCCTGTCGGGGCTGGAGGCGCATCCTCATCCTGGCAAATTCAATTAGACACAAATGATTCTTGTCAGGGGCGTTGAGACCAAATTGAGACAACTCAAACTCAGAGACCAAGGTCCACACCTCTGATAGCTTCTCAACAGGTGCAAACACACCCATTTTTGCCCAACAAATTTACTGTATCTTGCAGCGTCGTACACAGAGCTGAGAGCAAAACAGACCTGCGAACAAAACCATTGAATTCCAAACGAAGCAAGTCGCCAGCTTAGAATGAATTCTGATCCATTCAAGCGCTGGCCATTCCAAGAAACAAATGCAAATTGTTTCCGCAATTGATTTTTTTACATGCCCGAACTGCCAGCTGTCAATCACGCCAATCGCTCCCTATCTCACACTAGCTTGCTCCAGGTCTTTGGTGGGAGCTTGTGTTTTCCCAGCAAGTAAACCTTTGGCTTCACACCAATCACTTTTGCATTTCCGGAAAAGGTCTGCAAATCTACCTCAGACAAAAATCCATACAAAGAACATCTTACTGTAATTTTGCGTGACCATTATGATCCATTATGTGTGTAAGCAAGACCCTGACCAGTCAAAATTGAATGCAAGATACCTCCCATACCACTGTGGCAGACTTGCATTTGGGTAACTTGTCCATGTGGTTCACATACGCTGCGCCGATCGATCCGTGCCTCAAACAGCGACATGGACATGGGCCATACTAGACAAACAAACATGGACATGGAGCACAAGCTGCTCGCGAAACACCCGCAACAATCATGTTCCGACAAACGGCTTGGGGTTCTCTCCAGCTTTCAAAGCGTTTGGGTTGAAGACGTTACATTTACCGGCCCGCGCCACGGTGACGGTGTAGCGATAGGGCACTGGCAGGGCGTCCTGCCCCTCCACAACCTGCAATCAATCTTTGTGATACACCGCTCTAGCTTAAACTCCAAAGCATGTGGCCGTGTGGCCTGATAGGTCTTCTGAATGATCTCGTGATTTGCAAGTTCGAAGGTCGCAATGCCATTCACTGTAATGATTTGATGAAAAAGCTTCGACAGTGGCATTGGTTTCTTTTCATATGCCACCATGGCAAGGTCGTTCGCAATGCGAAAGGGAAGTCCGGTCATTTCATTCTCGCCCATGCCTGGGTGAGCACAATCATGACAGAACAACCGTAACCTCCTGCCCCCCCCACCAAAGCATCAGAGAACAAACAATTAGACAATAGAAGCAACCAGGGAACCTGACACAATCTTTTCTTCGAATGAGCCAACGTTAAAGCCACAGATTTCAGAAGCCTCCAAGGAAAGCTCATGGTCACCATCGTTTCCGATCCACAAGTTGAACTCCGAATCCACACACACTGCCGGCTTGCCACGCGCAGAGGGGCAAAAAGCTTTCCTGCGGATTTGATGACAAATAACGGGCACAAGTTCATGAATTCACTTGTGAAACCAATGCTGGGAGGAATGTCCTGAACAGAAACTGAACGATATGTTTGGGCGACCCCCCAGTCCTTGTAACCTTGAAGTCCGCCTCTTTCACCACAGCCAAGTTCAAGTCTTCGGACAAATCTTGTGGCCTGGCGCCCCCTTCTATTGAATAGTCCGGCTGGCCCTGCGCCCGAACCGTGCCTGCTGATGGAGAAGCTGTCACTGATGCATCCGTGCCTGCCTCTGGGAAGTTCCTCAAAAGCTCTTGCTTGCACTCACTGATCACCTTGTGACTGGCTGAGCCTTCCGAGAATTTGTTCAGCAAGGCATCTGGGAATTTGGGGCGCCCAGACACCCATGTCAGCAAATCCAGCGTAGGGTCAGGCTTTGCCTCAGAAGGCCGGGTTTTTGCCGGCGCAGTTGCGGATGAATCCCAGTGCGAATATATCGCAGCCTCGAAATCTGCAATGCAATCCTTCTGGTCCTCCCTCAAGAATCCGCAATAGTAGACGTCTGGTGACCCTCCACCTTGAAGAAGGCGCTCGAGAACAGCACGGCCAAATTCCACTTGCCTTCAAGAGTTGTCCATCTTTGAGTCTTTGAAAGAAAGCAATTCAATTCACAGCATGTTGACAACAACCTAAACGTCAGGGGTCATGGAGGGAGATTGAGAGAACCACGCCTGTTTGGCAAAAGGTCGCACCAAATCACGACATCCGTGGATCCAATATCAGCACCACGCAGGTAGTTCGCAAGGATCTGGGAGTGAGCGGGGACTCCTTTCCTAGGCATCACATCGGGTCGCGCTGCCAAAAAAACATTTGCGCAAACAAAACCCTCAAGCCAAAACACATGAGACAAGCAAGCCGTGAGTCTGCTCCGTGCGCGCGGAGGCACCAGGCCTGCTCCCCACTTCAAGGTCATATCCAAGCATCTCGTTCACTCGGATCAATGGGATGTCAGCAATGTGGCCCATTTGCACAGGCGCACTTGAAGACCACACGTTGGTCTCGTTGTGGTTGGTGCTTGACACGAAAAGGCATGGATGGACCAGCGATCTCTTGTCTGCAGAAGTGCTTCCACTTGACCTTTGGAAGATCAGCGTCACATTCTTTGTGATGTCCATGTTGTGCCCAATCAGAAAGTCTTCCAAAATCCTCCGGTGTTTGACCAGCGCCTGCGGCACAGTCTGCGCCTGGGGCATTGGCACCTGCAGATGTCCGCCGCATTTTGGAGACATAGCCAACACTGAATGCAACGCCTGCAAGCAGGCCTGCAAATAGCCCATATTTGAAGGCCACACGCAGCAGTCAAGTGAAGTCATGACATGCCTCAAGCTGGGAGGAATGAGACACATCGTCTCACAAAGTGGGAATGGAAACTCCACCTACATCAAAAAAATACAACTCATCATTCCGAAACACGCTGAACCGGTGGAAGTCTTGGTTTCCCATTCGCACAGGAACTTGGCAAACTCTGGGAAAAGCTGCTGCGGATTTCGCTCATCGACCATATGCACCTGGAACTTCTGCTGCATGAACTCTTTCACAAAAGCCTGCCCCTTCCTGCAGCATTTGTCAGAAGGCTAATTGTTGCGCCACAAAAATTACAATAGAACCAAAGCGTGACCTCGCTTGTTATGAAGGATGTTCATATTTGTGCCACAACTCACGCAAGGCTTCTGACAAACACACTAGCTGGCGACATGATGGTTCAAAACTCAAAAACAAACCGTTGCTGGAATGTCTGGCAAAACACGCTTGGCGTTGAGCCAAATATTTGGAATCCAGCATTGCCTCTGCTGCTGCTTGTTCTTGGGTAGGCTGGCGATCCTTAAGGGTTTTCATATCGCTCTCAAATCGGTGGCGGATTTGCTCCAACGTGGCTTCATCCACCTTGTCTTGGAGCTCGCGAGCTTTGTCCTGGGCCTCACGGGCTTTCCGCCCCTCAACCGCAGCGACCGTGCTCCTCTGTGAAGGTTTGAACTGCAAACACAAATGTAAACACTCTTGGGCTAAACACGCTAAGAGTAAACAAACTTTGCACCCAGAAGGCAGGTCCTCACAAAGCGCACATTGCTCAAAGCTATCGGCGGAACTGAGTTCTCCATAAAGCTGAGGACGTCATGGTCAAGCACCCCCATAGCAAACTGGTTGCGAATCTCTGGTTCGGCCTCCACAAAGTCGGCTTGTGGGACACTTTGTTGGAAACACTCCATGATCGCGATGAAACCACCACAGGCGGCGTGCAGGAGGGCAACGTCCTTCGCAGCAAAAGCTTTCTTCAACTGTAGTGGCTGCCGGTCCCAATCCCCACGCAATCGGTCCATCAAAAGCATCACCTCGGACAAACCACAAGCCAGTGGCCACATGACAGCGAACACCTCGCAAGTCACACACCCCGACACCTAGCCAGGGTTCTAAGTCAAAGACGCAAGGATCTGTTCCGACACACTGGGCAAACAAGATTGTCCATCCACAACAAGTTGTGTGTGCAAGTTCATGATATTTGGTGCGAACAGACTATATTGATTTCGGCCTGGTTACTTTATTGCGCTTTCCCTAATGTCTTTTTGTTGCCACGAACAGTTTGCAGCTTGGAGCCAATGGCACTTGGCACTGGGTTGGGTTTAAAGGCACCAGTGGCTGGCGCGAGAGCTAAGAGTATGTGGCAAACCAAGTCTTTTCTGCGTGAGACAAGGGCTCAACGGCTGGATACAAAGGATGGACACAAAATAACGACTAGCTCACGCCAGACTTGGACATGACATGAAGAATGAAAACCAGTTTTGGTGGCAACTGTTATATCCTCGGAATTCGCTGATTCGTTCACTCGGTTTGAACACCCAACGGTGCCAAACATCCACAACTACAAAAATGTCCATCCGACTTTAACAACCATCACAAGACCCACAGCACAGACAAACAGTAGCAACATTAATTAGCACACCACGTGACCCAGCCAAGCAAACAGCAGCAACACCGCCATGACACCCAAACAAACAGCTCTAAACTTTAAACGGTACACGCTTGCCCAGGCAGCCAAATGACAATCGCGTTGTCATGGCCATTCGTCAGATAGCGAGCCCATGGTTCCAACCCAGCGACAGTGGAAGTGTACGAGACATTGAAAAAGTCCCGCGCAAGTACCTCGTGTGTGATGAACTGCCGCATTCCCCGGCACCTTGTCGCTTCCTTGAGCGCTGTCACCATCAGTGGTGCAATTTTGCATTGCAAATTGGTCAGTGACTCGGCCTCCAACTTGCCCACCGTAAATGCCCGCGCCACTTTGGTAGCATCGTGCCAATCCTGATGACAACAACCCCCAAGCACACAAATTCAATTGAAGTCTGAACGCAGCGCTCCTTGAAGTCTCCAGAATCTCCGCTTTTTTGAAGGATCTCCAATTGGCGCAAAAAATTCATCGCGTTTGGGGCCTTCCTCGTCCCAACACTCGCAAGTGTGATTCCTTCAGGTAATCTTCCACAAAAATATCAAACATACTTGTTGCAATGTCCAAAGTGCTTACAAGCTAGTTCATCAACCTGTTCAACAAGAACCTTGCAAGGCGCTCCTCTAGAGGCCCAAACGGCACTCTTCGTGGAATCAAACCTCCCGACTGTCCCATGGATCACTCGCATCGACTCCTCCAACATCATGGGCTAACAAGCCACAAGGGTCTCAACAAGGTGCAAACATATTGTTGTGTGGAATGCTAGGTGAGGTCGCCTTGAAATCTGCCGTCAAGTCATCAAGGCTGATGCCCAAAGTCCTGATACCTTCACAGGAGATCAACGCACCCAAACTTCGGCGCCAACCCTTCACGTAGGCTACCGAGAAAGGGGGGAGGAGCTTCTCGCCTCAGGTCAAATCGCATGGTTTCAGAGTCGAATCCGTAGCTGTCCTCACAGTGAGGCCACGACTATCATCTCCTCCAGTATCGAGATGGGCCATGGGCTTGTATGGTGCCTGCAACCAAGCATCAACTGGTGGCCAGATGCTGAGTTTCTCAGTTCCTGGATTGTCCGCATCTGTTCGGAACCTGGGATGCAAGGCCAAAGCAGTCAACTAAATCATCGAATGCTGCCTGTCGCAGCCGTCTAACACAAAGAATGACAGGAAAAAGGAAATCTAAAATTACACATCTGAAGAACCCCTGGGACAGGATGAGCTCAATCAAACAGACCATGTCTGATGGCTCTGCCATCCCGGCTACGCCGAAGTCTGTTCTGAATCCTAACTGCCATGGTCGCAGAATCTTTCCACCAGGATTGAGGTCCACACTGTACGCCACCCTTGCAGCACAGCCACAAAACAACAAACGTGATCAACAACTCATCAGCAATCACTTGGGTAAAATCAACTGATCAGCATTTGCTAAGTTCAAAAAAATGGGGCCTGTCACTTGCCGGAAACGCGTTGTCCAACCACATAGCCCAATCGCGCGCGTCAGCCTCCCAGCCGGAGCAGGTCCAAAGTCAATTGCACACACACCAGCAACCCTAACCTGCTTCTGGTATTTGTTCATGAGGTATACGTCGGGCCCGCCAGCTGGGACCACAGTTTCCTGAAACCTGGCCAGGGTTGGCCCTGCGTCAATGTCCAACCAGCAAGTCAGTATTTAATTTGCAAACTAAACTCTGAGCAACATCACGCAAGCCACGTACTAGTTAAAGCCCAAGCAACCACTCAACGATCTTGGCGATGTGTGGGTACTCACTGGCGATGGCTGACTGCTTCTGGTTTGAAACCTTTCTACTTTTCCCACCAACCCCAGAACCAATGGAAACACGTTTCCCCATGGCACAAGCCCGGGAAACGCGCCCAGGGAAAACCCAACTGGCTGAGCCAAGTTCACCTGCAAAGGTCCGTGCAAGTCACACGACCCTTGTTTGCCACATAATCACAAACATTTCACATTGCCACAAAGTTATATAGTGAAAACACCTGTCTCACGTCCTTTCCAGCTAGGACGACACTGCACTCTGGATTGCTTTGTCGCCAGCCTGCCATCACAGAAAAACAAAAACAACTTCACATAGTTCACACAACTTCAGCAAGGTGTACAGAGCTTGTGGGAGCACACTGTTCAGAACAATGCAAAACTATGGGAATTGCACTCCCACAGCGGGGCAACACTTTTTTGCCAGCGCACCCCGCACAGTGTTGGAAGTCCTTTACGAAGCCTTCAAGAGCTTCACCCACTTAACTTGCCCCCGCTTGAATGTAGACTTCAAAACTTGTGGGGCTTTGTATGCGGCAGGTTTCTCTAACGCCCAGGCATACAATTTCCGAACTTTTGATCCCCACAACTTCGAGTGTTGGCGGCCTGGGAGAATGACAGCACCGTTCCAAGGAATCACGTCGTAACACACTTGGTGGCGACTCTGGTTGCTGTCTAGCCACATGAAGTTCTCTGGCTTGTGAGAAGGAGGCAAAAACTTGAGGCCCACACAGACACCAGATGGGTTCCGGACGAGGTGAACAACCGCAACTTCCAAGCACTTCACCAGTGTCACTTCACCATGCAACATCCTGGTTTTGTACTGTGTAGATGCAGTGGTGTTTGCCAACGCAAAGCGCCCTCGAAAAGTAGAAGGCATCGTCCGAATCTCCCATGTTTTACCGTTGCGCAGGATTTTCTGAATCCATTCGTCGTGAATAAGGAGAGCTCGGTCACACAAGCAAAGCTCCGAAGCCAAAGGTGCCCCAGTGGGGCTCTCACACGCTTCACGCCCCGCATGGTCAACAGGCAAAGTGACCGACATGGAGCACGCCAAGGCCTGTCTAGAAACAATTGCAACCCTGCTACGATGCAAACCCTTGAGCAAATGTATATTAATATACATATGTCAAGGCTTCGCGCGGCGCTATCAATCATAGTTTTCAGGTTTGAACCGTGGTCGAAGTTCGGATGAGAAAGGCACAACGTGTCTACTAGGAACTTCAACCCCACTTTGTGACCTTCGTTTACAAATCGTGAGCTGTTGCCAACGCTGTGATCTTGGACCATCGCGTGGCAAAGGGTCTTTCCCACACAGAAGTTGGAGCGCGTCGCTCAACAGGCTTGACAGTGAGAAAGGGAACACCAAAACAATGATATAGCCGCTCTAGCTTCTTGCAGATGAAATATTTGAGCAATAATTTCCCGTTGGAAAGCTCACAGGTGTGGCTCAAATAACAGGATACATCAACATAATTAATAAGAAATGGCAATGATCATGTTCCAGTCTCCTGACATGCACTAAAAAACATAGCCATAGTTGTCACACGCTTCGTGACTTAACCGGTTCCTTGCCTCGTTTGCTGCCACCACTCTTACCACCATATGCTTTGTCCTCGTCCAACCAGTTACCCACTAAATGTGCTTCACATGGTTCACATGGGTCCAGAAACACGGTCCAGGTTTACAACCCCGTTCGGCTGACGCTCTGTAAAACTTAAGACACAGCGGGTTGGAAATCAGACGCCAAAAACTCCTAAAAGCCACCATCTCCAACGCTGGCGTGAAAATCCGACACTTTCCTGGTGTCATGAGGGGTCAAAATCCGACACTCTTTTGGCAACACGCTCTCAAGAATCCGACACTTTCTCGATGCCAAGCACCTCCAAAATCCGACACTTT